CACATTTAAATTGAATACGACAATAATAGTCTCCTTCACGGTTGGTCATTGGCTAAGTACCACCATTCAATTCCTTATGTCTTCACGTCAGCGTCCAACATTTTATCATATTGCGCTATTACGTCACCCGTCAGTTGTCCAACAATTTTCATATCATGCACAACGTTAACCAATAATTTATGATACTGATTACTGATGAATTGTGATAACAGACATGGTAACATGATGGTGATGATAAACTGAAATATGGCTAACACGCAATTATGGTAATAATACGAACCCTTCTTAAAGAACCATAGCTTCCATCTTTCGACAGCGAAACACTAAAAGTAAAGTTGACTTTCTCTCCAAGTTTATACAGCAGATCGATACAAAAACCTAAAAAGACAAACTATCAGTACAATCACTAGTCTCCTTCGCGGCCTACCCTTTGTYGGGCTTCCTGTCCCTCTCTTCTTTTGCGCAGGACAGGAAGCCCGACAAAAGGGTAGTCTGCCATGGAGACTACAGATATACTGTTTGTAGATTAGTAATGCAGCATTCCTGGGAGAACGATAAAAATATTTGCATTTCATTCAAAAAATAAGAGATTCGTCAACTCATTTTTCCAAGCTATCGGATCAATCGATGCATCATCACGGAACGAAGATGATACAAATGACCTTAGAAGTTAAAAAATATGCAATAGTCTCCTTCACGGTTACCTACGCCATCTTGAAAGGTAGCCGTGCCTTTGCATCGAAGCGAGACAACCATTGAGCGTGCAATGATAGATACCTTCTTTCACACCTACAGACAATTATTCACAGGTTTCTATCATTACACGCTCAACGGTTGTCTCGCTTCGATGTAAACTGAGGCACGGCTACCTTTCAAGATGGCGAAGGTAACCGTGAAGGAGACTATTGCAACAGGCACAACACGTGAATGTTATAAATCAAGCCATTACCATAGCAACAGTGTTGATTTCTTCCCCTGACGTCAGGAGGTAGTTCAGAACCAAACGCTTTACCAGTGCACAATACATGCTTTTTGTTGTCTTTATTAAGATCTTCACATTTGCCGCTATCAGGGACAGCCTGCACTGAAACAAACGGTTCACCGACTAGTGTCACTACCTGAAAAAAAAACATTGTACATAGAATTTATGTTATTTCATGCTGTAGTGTATTGGATTCCCTGTGGAATATGTAATATGTCACGTGATGAAGTGAAAGAGGAGAACCACGTTGTGTGTGAAAGCGAAGCGTTGTCTAGTTTGTCTTGACACATGCCACAAATCGAAGAGAGCCAAGTCCAAACATAACAGTGTCGTACAATCATTAACTGGTCATTTAAGGTTAACCCTGGTCACGGGACAAACAGTACAAATTGACATTTTTCACAAAATTTGAACACTCGAGAAACTGATTGCATCGATGGGCAAATTTGCGCCAAAACAATTTTCGAGACGGACATGCGCAATACCAATTGCCCATAAATCCAGAAGCAGTTGAGTGGCGGTCCAACCCAACAGCCCTTGCGTATCCGAGAACGAGGAAGGCTGTTATTGTACCATGAAAAAGTTATACAAGAAGAGTTTTTTAGGTGCTGATTGGCTATGATAAGTCCAAAGGAAGGTTTGGGTCAAAATCGTCAAATCTACTTCCAGTTCTTTCTACTTTGAATATACATGAACACATGCAACCCAACACATGTTTTCCAAAACTTACTCTCAGATGATTGGATACAAAGACTCCTTTAGGTGTAGTGTTCTGCCCTCCTGGCCAAATGATGCTGTCGTTTTCTATGAGTGACACCTGTCCATTAAAGTAATGTCCTACTGTTTCCATGGTAGCGTTGGAGTCTTTTTTGTTAAGGAT